CTCTGCCCCTTCCAATCCCTGTGCTTTCCCTTCTGCAAGGGGAAATAACTAACTCCAGTGGTGTACATCCATGCTGTGCCCCCAGCTGCTTTAGAGAGCAGGATTTTACTTAATTTTTTCTTCATATCTCCTAGTATTAATACCATAAGCAATCTTTCTCCCCACCCTCAACAGGCCCCAACAAACCCATGGGCAAAAATCCAATCATCCTCTCACACCTTGGAGAATGAAGAGACCAGGACCAACTTTTGAGGTGTTGCTTTAGAATTCAGCCTCATGAAAGCTTGACTAGAATTCATGCATTTGCTTTTTGATGTGTTTGCCTCCTCACTCACAGTGGGGTGGAAGGGATCATGGTCCTGCTGAGTGGCACAATCCATCTGTAATGGTCTGAAATGTTGTTGCTAAGCAGTGACACTTCCTTTTCCCCTGTCTGCCCCGTTTAAGTGAGTCAGGAAGCATGATAAAAATGGAAAGACATGATCAGAGTAGCAAATTCTGCTCCATTGTTTCAGATGCTTCAGGTCACCCCAGAAATATGTGACTGCAAGACAGGGCAAAATTTAATTAAATGGCTTGGAAACACTCACTGGAGCATTGTTGCCTTTTCCTATGCTCTGGATTTATCTCATTCCTGTGCACATATCAAAGTACTGTGCTTCTGTCTTTTCTTCGCTGCTTGAAACCAATAAAACAATCCATCCCTGAAGATAATGAAGCATCTCTCGGAAGTAAAAAAGAAAAAAATATTACCTAATATCAGTTGTGTATGTTGCTGATTCCCAGCAGAGTTGACACCATGTGAAGGTGTGCCAGGTAGAGTCACACTGGTAACTCAGGGAAAACAGCACCAGGGACACAGGTGAGGCCAAGGCTCCAAATGCCATTTACAAAAAAGTGGACAGAGCATTGTTCTGTTATCTTGTTTCTATAATTTGTGGAATGGAGTTGGACTTGATGATTCTTGTGTGTCCCTTTCAAGTCAGAATATTCTGTGATCTCTGATATATTTGACTTTGTTGGGGCTGCAGGTGACAACATGCTTCTGCTGCTTTCAGTTTCACATCTTCTCTCTCAGTCGTAATAGATGTTTATTGAGGTATTGATTGTCCTGGTACATTTTTAAATTAAAAAGTAATATGCCAAATTCTTTCTGGAAGACACAGAATACAAAAGGAATAGTTTGCTTCAACCAGGGTTGCCAGGAAAAGATTAATGTTATTTATTACATGTTGATTTTTTGAAACATATAATTTTTTGCCAAAATATGTTGTATTATTCCTTGTCTTAAAATTCATGGTTAGTTCTGATTTAAGATATCTCTTAAATGATTACTATTATAAGACAATTTCTCCTCTACAAGGAACCCTAAGATAATCTGTAGGCTGAGCTATGTTATGTTGAATAACTACCAGACACCCCACAGGTGGCGTGGAAGATATTAAGCCCTAAACATTCTTCATTTATGCTTAATTTAAGTCCAAAATAAAGTGTTAACTAACATACCTTTTAAATTAAATTAATTTTATAAGTTCTGGAATAGAGCACAGTTAGAAGTGTCATTTTAGTGTATCTTGTGGACAGCAGAACAGTACAGATAGTGGCAAATTGATCCAGCACAGAACTGCCTTTACCTGAAAAGGAAATAATCTATAAATCTCAGTGAAGGTGAAATCCCATTTGGGCTTGCTGGGAATTATATCAGCCTGTGGTCATCTGAGCTTGAGAGGATTCTGCTCAGGTGAGCTGGAGGTGGATAGTGTGACCTGCTTATGATATTATCAACTATCCTGACTCTTGCATAACTTAAAATCCCTGATTTAGGAACTGGGAATACCTCAGTATATTTTCATTCCTGTAAAACATCTGAAGAAATAAGTGAAAGTAAACACACACATTAAATTGACATGATTTTGTTGCTAAGGTAGCAAATTTCAGATCTCTGTGGGAATACTGCTCCACATGTAGCACAAATCACAAGCATTAAAGAAATCATTTTATGCAATCATTTAGCGACATGAGCATTACATAGAGTCGAGATGAGTGAGTGGTTTAGCAAGAAATTCATATTCAGCATGAAGACACTGATGTCTCTGTGACAGCTGGAATTTAGAGAGAATCATCTTCATGAACTGTGCTATGTACTTTGGAGGCACAATAAGTAGACCATACAAATTCTCTTTATTTGTTCCTCTTTCCCATCCAGGTTCTCTCACCTTTTGCCATATCATTCAACCACTTCTCAGGGCTTTATTAAAATCATAAAACATGCTTAGCACTGATGAGTTTTAACAAACAAATGGTGCATGTCATTGAATGTGATGCCTTGGCCAGGGAAATGGACTTGGGAAAGATGTTTTGATATTCACATAACAACAGCACAAAGAAAAGTGGTGGATATGTCAGGGTGTTGCTTTCTTTAAAAGCAGAATTCATATGTCATTCCATGTATTTGTGTACTCTAATTGGACTGAAGTCTACAAAGATGAAATTTCACAGAATTTGGGAAGAAGAAGCAGAATAAAGAAAATATAGAAATGTCCTTAATGATCCTGACTGAAGCAGAAAATACATTTTGCGCCCCTGACCAGAGGATGAATAATTGTCTCTCAATTATTAATCTGTTTTCTGGAAGTAGACAGGTTCATTGTACCTCGGTCAGGTATATTTTATCTTATTTTTATAGCTTGGGTGAAGACATTTAGTGCTTTGTATCCAGATTCAGGAAGAAACTCAGTCAGACTGGTCAGTAAGGGGCTGGGCTTGGAGGCAGGGTTGTCCATTTTATCAGTTTAATGTTCTCATGTTGAAACTTCATTTAAACCATCATATCATGGTTAAAACTACCCTGAGGTTACCTGTACTTATTCAGTTTACTTGATTGTGAAAACTTCCAGGATGAAATTACAGTGGCCCTATGAAAGGACTGTTTTTATTCACAGATGGAGGATGATGGATCCTGGAAAGTGGATGGCAACATCTGGGAAAGGCAAGCCTTCTGAACAGTTTCTGTTGCTACACCCCAGGTGAAAACTGGTAGAAATACCATCTATTTATTCATTGAATTATAGCGAATATCTGACTCCAGATAAAATTCTTTCTTGAGTCATTCCATTTTACCTGAGCTTTTTCTTCCATAAAATGAACATAAAATAAACAACTAATGCCATTATCTTCATTACTGCTTCCATAGATGAATGTTATATGACTTTTACGTGTAGTAAATAAATGTGACATTTACAAAACAGAAAAGGATGGGCAGAAAGGGAGATTGTGAAGAGCAGCACTTGATGAGAAGGATCTCATTTTAATGGTCTTCTTTTTGTTACACTTGTATTATTGTCTGTTACAACTCAGCAGACATCACTGCTGGGTAAATGCTATAATTCAGCCTGATATGGTGCTATCTGTGAATATTTCTTCCCTGCCATTGTCCTTAGCACAGTTTCTTGGGTTACAATAAATAAATTTATTTCCTCTGGAACTAAAATTGCACATAAACTAAGCAGTGCAAATTGCTTTCTACTTGTTAATTTACAGTCTTGAAATGATGGTAGGCAGAGCTTAGTACAGATGTGGTGCAAATGTAGAGAATAAATGGAGTATGAGAAGAAGGTAGAGCTTGGTTTTGATTTGATTTGTACTTCTATAAATCCAGAACATTTCCCTTTTTTTTTTGGCTAGAGGAAGACTAATATCTGTCTTGTATGGTATTCTTTAATCAGGTATTCCAACCAGGTAATTGGACACTTTCTTGACAGGCAGTGGCCAGACAGACTTCTTGTTTGCATGTTGAGAATACTTTTTAAATCATTCTATTTATCAAAATAAAAAATATGGCAAATAAGGCACTAAGGAAGATGAGCACTAGCCAGACACCAAAAGAGTATAATATTTTTAGATGACATCATGTGGATTATCAGACAAGAATATTTGTAAGAATTGGGAAATTGTTTAGAAGACTTTGTTTCCCACTAGTAGCAATATCACTGGAGACAGACAGAAAACTGCTGAAGGAAAATGGCATTCTGCCATATCCTTAAAGAACAGCCAGGTTGCCTATGTTGTAAATGTCATTACTTACTAACTTTGAGTTCTCAGAATATACATTATTGGAACATGATTTCATTATGTTATTGTCTACCAAATTCAAGCCCTTTTATGCATGAGTATGTAAAAGAGAAGCTGGTACATATTTTGTGGGGGAAAGCTTTGAGGAAAACACATCTGTTTTTTGTTGTCTTATTAAAAAACTCATCCCATCTGTCTTGGTTTGGAAGACAGGTGTCTGCTAGGGAAGGCAGGAGCCTTCCTTGGAATAAAAATGTAGAACCCCTCCCTCCGAATTATTATAATTTTGAAATCAAGGGGCTCTCAGGCAGAGATCTGGGGATAGGAATAACAGTTCTTTACTAGTGTGTATAACCAGCCAAACAAACAACAATAACTACAGTATTAGCAAGAAAACAGAACCAGGGGCTCCGTGACAGCTTTCTCGGCTGAGATGGGATGGAGGAGAGGCTTTGCTTCACAAACCCCTCGGGCAGTCAGTCCCGGTGCTCCTGCAGGGCTCTGAGGAACAGTCGGCTGGAACAGCAGGGATGAGCTGAGATCCTGGGCCGGTGGCTGAGGTGGATCAGGAGAGGGATGAGCTGAGATCCCGGGCTGGTGGATGAGGTGGATCAGCAGAGGGATGAGCTGAGATCCCGGGCTGGTGGATGAGGTGGATCAGCAGAGGAATGAGCTGAGATCCCGGGCTGGTGGATGAGGTGGATCAGCAGCTCCATGGCGGTGGCACTGCTGCACAGCCCGGCAGGACGGTATGAGGCCCACTGAAGGAGAATACAAAGAAGACAAAGAAGATGACAAAGAAGGATAAGAAGGATAACAAGAAGGACAAGGAGAAGAAGGAGAAGAAGGAGAAGAAGAAGAAGAAGAAGGAGAAGAAGAAGAAGAAAATGAGGAAGAGGGAGAAGAGAAGAGAAGAGAAGAGAAGAGAAGAGAAGAGAAGAGAAGAGAAGAGAAGAGAAGAGAAGAGAAGAGAAGAGAAGAGAAGAGAAGAGAAGAGGAAGAAGCAGCTCCATTGGGTTATGGCATAACCATTTGGGTTATGGCAAATTCTCCAAGCAAGAGCAGCTCCTGCTCTGAAGCCCAAGAAACCAGCCCAACTGCAGCTGCCCCCGCCCTCACTTTTCCCTGCCCCCTTCCCCCTCGGCCCAGCCAAACTCTGTGTTTCCAATAAGTACCAGCAGTCAGGTTTCCCTGCAACCAATGGGGGAAATTCTATAGGTGAGAAGGAGCAAAAGGAAGGATACCTAACCCCTAACACCATTCCAATTTAATCTTTAGATTTATTAATTAGTGCTGATCTCAAATAAACTCCTCTAACTGTATTTTCACTGTGTGCCAGAAACAAGGGCCCAGGCACCATCATACTGAGAGATCAGGTGGGAGCAGTGAGGTTGTCAAAGGTTCTCAAAAAGTCAGCCTTTGTGGGGGAGTTTTAAACCAAATCCTCTACTTTTGTATCTCTTTTTGTATCCTCTACTTTTGTATCTACTTTTGTACCACTGGGATTGTTCAATTTGTGTCTATGTACTCTCTGTGGGAAACTACATAAAAATAAGCAGAGATCTCAGTATTACAGGAATAAACCTATTAGGCTTCTTCCTCCTAGATATGACTGTCATGTCTAATCCCTCCCAGGAGGTCAAGGATAAAATGGTTCATTAATTTTAAAGATCTATTTGTTCAGGCTAGCTGGGTAGAGAAGTGCAGTATCATCACTTCAAAAGAGGTGAAAATCTGTCTTGGTTCCATCTTGTTCTGGGGTGAAGGGCAGTGGCTGGTAAACTGAGGAGGCAAATTGATACCTTGAACAGGATAGAAAAATTTTGCAGTTACTCCCTCATTGGTATTTTATATCTCTCTCCTGCACAGGGATCTCCCCCTTTGGAGAGGTGATGCCAGGGAAAACACTCAGCAGGTCTGGATCAGTAGTGTACCATACTTTGGGTTTATACTGTGCTTCCTGACTATATGAAATCTGTTTGGATAGTGTGGGAATCAGGGAGGATTATTAACACTCTGTAACAATCTGGGTTTTGAGCAACCAGGTCCATTTGAAGGTGTCCCTACCTACAGCAGGAAGATTGGAATTAGGTGACCTTCAAGGTCCCCTTCCCACCTAAACCGTTCTTTGATTCTGTAATTCTATGAAATGATCCTGGTAGCCACTTAGCAGGTCTTTATGAAAAGTAAGGATTGATCGACAGAGAAGATCTACCCAGGGTTTTGATCAGCATTTTAACCACTCTTGTTTTTCAGATGCTGAATCCCTTCTCTAATTACAAGTCATGTGAGAAATCCTCAGATGGGAAGATTTTGAAGAGCCTGTCACCTTGTTAGCTGAACCATCCAAGGCAAGACATTCCCTTAAACCTGATCTAAGTCATCAGCAATTTATTTCCACTTGATTCTGTATGTCTGTGTCCTCATAATCCCTTTTTGTCTTGAATTGCTTTATTTTGAATTTGGATTTTACTTGTTTCATAACCTATCTTGAGTTAAAGACAATTTCAGATAACTTGCCTTCCACAGATCTGACATTACTTAAAATTTCGGCTTTGGAAAATATTAGCAAGGGCTCAAATCCCCAGATTATTGCAAATATTCAAAATATGTGAATCTGTGTAAGTAGCAAGTCCTTAGAGATCTCCAGTGGTTGCTATTAGTCAGAGATTTCTTCGACAGACCATAAAGAAGTGGGGTCTGAAAAAGGTTCTATTTCTCATGTTTCCTGTAACAGTGGTAGGATATGTTCACCGAGGCATGAGCTGCTGCTGCTATTGGGAAGCCTGAGCTGCAAATGAACTTTGCACAGATGACCCTGTCATGTGCACTGGCACCACCAGCCATGGGTGAATTGTGTCTGCTGGCCCGACAAATCCTTGTCACAGCCATCACTGTCACAGAGAGACTGCATGCATGCAAGCTTCAAAATATGAAAATCCTATATATTTCTTCTTTTGAGGACAGGGAGGGATTGCCCAGACAAGGGAGGACTCGAGAAACTCTCTCTTTAGATTTTATGTCTGGTATTATCATACGGATTTCTGCTGTTTAATATCAAAAAGAAAATTGAGCCATGAAAGAATGGGCGAGAGGGGATTTAAAAACTGCACTAGGAAGGAAAATGCTTCCCTTTTCTGTTTGTGCCTGTCTGTCTAACAGATCTCCTTCCCGAGGAACTCTACATAAAGGAAGTTGCACGTACTACCCATGGCTCAGCAAGGCACTTGTGCAGCTGTTGGTATTTAGTAGGCAGCTGCTTGATTTTATAATTTCCAGAAGCCTGCTTCATATGGATTCTTGCTGCAGAAACAGATATGGGAAGACATTAGCCAGCTTTTATTCTTCGAAGTACAATGCAGAGGACAGAGTTGGCTGGGGTTCTAATGGTAGTGGTTACATATGTTACAGACCTATCCTGACCTTATATCTAAAAGTTATTTTACATTATAACAAGATATTACATGCTTGATCTCTGGTTTTCAGAACATAAAGTATATTTTTTTTTTTCTTTTAGACTTAGATTTTAAAGCTACAGTAGTACTCATGACTTCCCAAAACAGAGGGTCAGGTATTAGCCAGTGTTTGGTTGGTTGTTCACTTGTGGGCTCTTATCTCTGAGACAATAACTCCAGGCCCTAAAGCACAGGGAAGTGCCCTGCCTGTGTAGTACCTACAAGCATGCTTCCACCTTTTCCCTCCTGTATTTCATAGGGCTGTCCCTCATTATCAGATCCTTCAGCTCTCAGATCTCTGGGTAGATGGTGTGTTGTGGATTTGCACACACCAGTGTGGATGGTGAGCTGCTGGATCTGCACACACCAGTGTGGATGGTGAGCTGCTGGATCTGCACACACCAGTGTGGATGGTGAGCTGCTGGATCTGCACACACCAGTGTGGATGGTGTGTTGATGGATCTGCACACACCAGTGTGGATGGTGAGTTGCTGGAT